TTTTTACCATTTGAAGAGTAACATTTTCGTTGTAGGTACGGTGATTTATATATATATGTACTGTTTGTACAATATAAATTACCATCCAAAGTAGTAAATTATCGTCATCATTCAAGCACAGTAATTTTTTATTATTTTGTTTTTCTCAGCAAAATTACGTACATGTTACACAGCGTGTGCAGCGACTTGAACCAGATGTACAGAAGGGGGGCTTTATCTCGATTTACATTACAGATTCGCTTGCTCTCTGCAGTCCGTTTCTGTACTCGGGGAGATCGAGAGTACATGTTTGAAGGGTTCAGGTGGGAGCAAAGTGCCTTGCCCCCGGCTAATAGATGCGCATCCACGCTTATAGGTACACGTTATTGGAATATACCTATGTACACCCGGCCCTTGTAAAAATGATGATGGATCGCAGTCACGGGTGGAGGGAGATACTTTGGAATTTCACACGCGCGCACGCTCCGCGGGAGAAAAAGCGAGAGAGAGGGAATAAATGTCCTCGTGTGAATTTAGCCAATTTCTCTTCGCCGGAAGTCCTAAAAACAAAATACGAGCTCGAGGGGGGGAAAGAACGTGCAGTAAACGGGACGACAGTGTGGATGATTTAAAATTTCGGTCACGACGGCGGCGCCGTGGCAACGACAAAGGAGAAAAGCGTCCTCGCCCGGGCGTGGGGCTGGTTTTACGGCGACGTTATAAACATTATAATGCCGAGCGGGAGGGACAATTGCACCTACCTTTGGAATTGCCGGGAGGGACATTTTCACTTTGTGGCCCCCCGTTCTTGTAATCCTTGGCCCGTGCTCGCGTGGCGAGGGAGGAAAATCCGACGGAAAGTTGGTTAGCTTCGCCCACCTCTGTCGGAAGTAAGAGTGAAAGGAGGAAGGGGAGAAGAGAAACGAGAGTAGCCTCTCTCTCTCTCTCTCTCCTATACTCACCGGGCTTAGCTAAATCCTCGCGGATGAACGGACGTTATCGTCCGCGCGTGCATACGTGCCTCCTATATAAACCCACCTCCTAACTCTGGCTCTTGGAAAGGCGACCCTTTTTTTTTTTTTTTTTTTATGAAAAAATCCGAATCGATTTTGGATTTTTATTCGTGGAGAACGCCGAGCTGCCGTGTAAACGGGGAAACTGGCTCTGATAATGGATTTTACCGATGGAAAAAGGGGTATGGGGCCGAGAGGAAGTAGGGGGAAATAGGGAAATCCGAAAGCATTGGCGAAAGAGAACGCGAAAAATTGTGGGCGAGCGCGTATATGCGATTCGAGGGAAACGGAGCCAAAACGACGGGATAGCACGGTATGTGCCTTTATCAGAAGATCCATGAAAAACTTTGGTCGAGGTTTACTCTAAAGATGAATAAAAAAGGAAAATAAGGCACCTTCGAGACAGAGATTTTTATCTTTTACGTCTACAAGAGTATGCACAGTTACAAAATTTTTTGTTATTTGCTGAACTACATAAATTGATGGCTAACATTCCAGAAATATGTGAAATTAGTGATTGATGTGAATGATCACTAAAACGGAAGAAAAAAATTTCTGTAACCTTTAGGATTTTGGCCACTTAAAACTATATTATACTCGTTCCTTTAATATTCCACAGATAAGCTCATTATACCACACAGAAGTCATTAAAATGAAGAAAAAAATTTTTTTCATCTGTGATCATGAAAATAGAAAAAAAATTTTCTTACACTTTGGGATTTAGGCCACTTGACTTGATTTAAAAAATCGTTTTCAATATCTTACAGATTAGCTCATCATGCCCCATGGAGCCCGAAAAAAGGAGCGGCTTCGCTCTAAAATTGAAAATTTTCCAACTAGAAATAATACAACACTTAATATCACTGTATCCCTGTAGATAATAGAGATGTCGCTAAAAGAACGACATTCCATGATCATGAAAATTAAAAAAAAAAATTTTCTCCTGACTGCGGGACTTTGGACGAATAAATATTAGTTTCTAATTCTCTCATATTTCATGATTAGCGTTTTATACCATAAAAAGCCTAAAAAACGTAGTAAATTCGTGGTCGTAAAATGACTATACTTTAAGTGAACTCCCATCTAAAGTTACATTCGCGGAATCGCTCGTATACCAGTGTCTGCCATTTTTTGGAGCTTTTTCGCGCGACATTAATATCCGCGCCAACGACCGCACCTAATTCCAGTGACAGTACCTCGCGGGGCTCTCGCTTTTTTGCAGCTTGCACTGCGAAGCTTCGTGCTGTCTATTTCCTCCCATCCCCATTTCTACTCATGGGCCATCTTTTCTTTTTGTTTCGTTGGCAATCCTCTCGCCTCATCGCACGCACACGCGCATCGAAGCGAAAAAAAAAAACGTATAGGAAATGAGCCACGTGTCGAGAACTAAAACGAAGATAGGCATGGGACGGGACGTGAAAAAAAAGTCAAGACACGAATGCTGATTTGCCCGTCGTGCGTGGCGTGCTCACGTACTCGCTATACTGGAGGGTGGTGGCTGGTTGCCCTGAAACGTGGCGGCATAATCACCGAAGATTGTACAATTGTACGCGAGGGACGAATAATGAAGCTACACAGGGTTTCGCACTAGGAAAAGTCCTTTTCCAAGTAATCCAGCTACGGAGATATATATTTTTACTCCAAACGGTACACAGTGCGAAGCTTGACAGTCGAGCGCTTTCCAATAAAACAGTTCAATCAACGCGCTGGAGGCGTATGTATATGGTCTTGGAGAGCGACCGGCCGTACTCGATAGTTTCCTCGCGCGGATCCGACGGATTTAAACTAAATCTGCTGTTGACCACTCGTCCCACCCCCCCCCCTGCCTCCAAAAGTTCGGCTTTGGCAAATATATAGCTTGATTGCTTTAATCTTCCCATCGGCAAAATAGTGTATCATCTACGGGACGGAAACATCAATACAACAAGCAACAAGAGCTTAATCGGTTTTGCGGTCGTGTGCTTGCACAAGCGCTGGTGACGCTCGTCCCCTCGTTTGTTTATTTACCCGAAACTCACTTTGTGAAAAAAGCACTCGGTAAATAACGAGGGGAGAGGAGCGTGTCGGGTGAAACGGAAAAACGGAGAAAGAGGAGTTACTTAAGAGACCAGCCCGATTCATTTGGAGTCGGGTGAAAAAAAGGCTCACGCGTGCGGCAGGCTTTTAGCGAGCCGTTCCTTTTTTTTTTTTTTTCATCCACTCGCCGTTTCCTTTGCCCTTCTCTCAATTAAAACACACACGTGCACCTGAAATACATCCCGCGCGGATGTGCAGACATCGACGCGATGGTCTCCCCCCCCCCCTCCAGCACCGAAAGCACTCAGCTCGTTCCATCGACGCGGTGTTTAAGGAGGAAATGTCTGAATACCACCGCTGACGAGTCTCCGCTCGCGTATGTTATTATCATCTCTCTCTCTTTTTTTTTTTTCTTTTTTTTTCACCAGCTCGTCGAGAGTTTTTTATTTTTCTTCTCTTTTACCCACTCGGCGCTTGTTAACGCGGGGTCCAGAGCTTCATTCGCGGCTGTTCGAGACAAGCGGGAATTGTTCTTTTCAGTTCGTTTGCACGTGTGCACACACGCGCGAGAGAGAGCAATCGACAATGGCAGCCGCGAGAGGGTAGGGGGGGGGGGAGAGAAATGCTTAATTGTGGAAAATTGCGTGGGGCGAGGAAGGGTCAGCGCTCGCGGATATTGCCGGCGTCCGAGTTTATACATGTACGCGTCGTTTATTATTCAGCGGATGGAAATCGAATTGAACAATGAGAGCACTCTGAATCGACGCTCCGCCGTTGAATTACTCTCCACTCGCGGCGGCTCTTTTAATTCACATTTGCCCTTCCCGCGCGCGGGGATAATTACACGCGGTATTTTTTTTAATCGCTCGCGCCTTGACGGCCGAGTATTGTGTATACGCGGGAGGAGTCATCTAAGGTGGAAAATTACCGGCATATCTCGAGCTCAAAGTAGAACTTGCAACTCGGTCCGACTTGTGCTTGCATTTACTTAATTTCAGTGCAAATGCGTTCGATAACGCGGGTTCGCTGCTCCTGCATTTACCAAAGCAAAATTGAGTTTTCCCTGTGATCGTAATTTTAGGTGCACCCCAGTTGCTGAAAATAATTTGAAATCCCCGAGTGTAATGTATGTATGGATGACTTCCACCTACTTTTTCATTATTGAGCTGTTTCAAACGAAAGAGCACTTTTACGGCGGGAAATTAGTCTAATTTTTCAAGCCATCTATATTTGTACATATACAAGTATCTACGAAAAAACCAAAAATAAAAAAAAACCCCATCTGCCTGAAGCTCGAATGCACTCCCCGAAAAGAGAGTACAGCGCATCAATGCACTCGTCAGCAGCTCGTAAGGTGTATGTATACTTACCCTTCGCAAGTGGAGCCACATCGCGGGGAACTGTTTATTGGCGCGGGGCCAAATGAAAATAGGATGTCGGAGGGGCGAGAGCTCAAAAGTTCTCATTAGGCGATCGAGACACTTATTTCGGCACTCATATACATCCACCACTGCGCGTATTGTTGGCGCTTGCTCCCCCGCGCCGTTTTATACACAGTTGGTATTAGAAAGGGAGGAGAAGCCGCATTGTCTCTCTGAATGCATAAACTCGAGGGTCCTTCCTCTTCTCTTTTTTCGTCACGAATTTATATTTTCTCCAGCAGCGCAGAAGTAGTACTACGCGAATTGGAGAATTTTCGAGTAAGCGTCTGGCTCGTGATAACCGGAGCGAGACTCTTATTGCCGTGGGCACTTTGGCGGGGATCGCATTTGTTGATTAAATTTTCGACCCGCGATGCTGTACATGCAAACGAGGTTGTTATTATTATGATTTTCAGCGTCCGTTTGTGTGCGATACAAGAAATTTTGGGAATTGCGTTTTCGCCAAGAAAAAGTCCCTATTATCATTACTGAAAACAATCGATATTTCAACATGACAATTATAATCCATTGGTGCCGTTTTAACGTTTTTTCGAAATGTGTTTTTTTGCAGATACGCCATCGTTCGCAATAACGCGGCTGCCGGGCTTTGGAATTCCAATCGTCGAGGGCATGTCCGTCAGCCTCAAGTGCGAAGTGGACAGCAACCCATCGAGCGTTCCAATATGGCAAAGAGGTATTTTTACAGACGATTTTTATTTCTCACTGTTTATTTGAAGCATCGCTCCGTACTCTCAGAGATAATTAAATACACCGTAAATCCAAGCGCGTTAAAATGACCCTCCAATTGGCATACTTTTTCAAACAATGTCACTGTCTCGGTTTACAATTTCAACATGAGAATCGCGAAAAAAAGGGTTATTTTAAGGGTGTGCCTCGAAAAAATTATTTTTATTAAAATGGGTGACGAAAACGGGATATTTTTGTGATTTTTGTGTGGATTCCCTCATATACATTAATTTTTTCCATGGACATTCGACAGAACTGGTTATAAATAGTCGATGAGAAATGGATGGGTTTGTTTGTGGAAAATTTATACAGCAAATGGACTTGTTTACCCAATATTCCTTCGTCAAACCGAAACAATTCACAGAAAAAAAAAAAAAAAAACTCTGTTGAAGTATTTAACGAACTGTCGAACGAGCGATAACTTGATTATTTTGCTATTCAATTGCAATAGACCGTGCCCGGGCGTGTTGGCAAAAATCCAATTGCATCGCCCCTGAAAAAAAAAACTACCTCATTTACACCCCCTGCAGCGACGGAAAATATTAGTTTACCAACGGGAACAATTAAAAATCCACGCCGACGGCAGCTGTGACAAAAGAATCACACGCGTAATTACTTAACGTCAACGAACCAACGAGTGTCACACAGAGAGAGAGACCCAGTGACACGGTGTATAATGCGTGTAAACACGTGTGTATGTAGTAAGTACAGCGCGCCCCTGGGGAGGCTTGATACATGCGATGGTCGCTCGGCGTCGCCTTCACCGCCGCTAATTTAATTAGCGTAAACAGGAGGGCTGCGCCAACTTGAAGCAAAATTCGGGGGCTTCGAAATGGATGGAGCCCACGAGCGCGGCTTTTCCTCAGCCGAACTCAAAGAGCCAGCCTCCGACGTCTTGTACGCACGCGTGTCTGGCCACTCTCGCTTTAATTACGTCATTTAGAACCAGCACGCACATTCGGGCTTTGTTTCTCGGCGAGCCCTTGGGAAACCGGTGTTTGGAGTAGGCTGGGGGAGGTTTTCCGGGGGTGGCATGCGGGTCATGATTTTCACAATTGCCGATAAATAAAATTACATCAAACGCTGAGTTATTGGGGAATCGTGCGTACGATGTATTTTTTTTTTTTTTTTTTTTTGTTTCTCGTGTAGCGAAGAGTTGGGTGAGAAATGTGGAAATAATTTTCCGAGGAGTGGTTCTTTCAAGGTATGAACAAGAAATAGGTCATCGCATTTCTGCTCGGCTCGTTGCACAATTAAAACGGCATAGGGACTTGAAGCTCCGGAGAGACTCGAGGACTAATTTTCGTGGTTTCCGTTTTTCATAAAATAAAAAAAAGAAACTCCTCGAGCTGGGAGTGTAGTGCCATTACTCGAGCTATAATTACTGACTTTTGAAATTTTTTCCGCGGCTTCGTACGGAAATTCAATTTCTTTGCGAGTACAGCTTTGAGCTCCCGACTTTCTAATGAGGATGAAATGGCCTTCAATGGAAATCAACGAGAAAAAAATTACCCAAATCACTCGTGTTTTCTTCTCAAATTTTTAATACATGTATTTTTTTATGCCGTACCGTGCAATTGTTAAGGAACCTAATTATGTTTCTATTCAACGAATTTTTTTAAATTTAAATCGTTACTTGGGGAAAAAAAAATATATCGAACCTAGGGTAAAAACGGAATAAATAACTTATACTTACGTATCTTGCACTGGCCAATGCTATCCACATTTCCACATATACAAATCGTGAACTCGAGCAGACAAGTTCTCAACCCAATAACCCAAAGTCTGCGTAATGGGACGACATACTCATCGATCATTCTCTTTACTAAAGTAATAATTTGGAGCCTATTTTCCGGATGGCTAACGGAGCAAAGCTTAATTCGCAAATTTTCATTTTGGAGTGTAAAGGTAACAAATGAAATAAAATAACAAAAAACACTCGGTACATTCACCAAGCAATTATCTGCGATTCGGTAGTATAAAAAAAAGCATGCCGAGAAAAGCCCCGAAATAAAATAACGTTCAGTGATGATAGCACGCCTGTACCGCATCTTTTTACGGTGGATGAAAATTCAAGCGTTTGAAGCGCGCGAAATTCGCGCTCTCGCGCGGGATATCCTTCCAGGGGATAAATACGGGCTCGAGAACAAATGAGCATCGGCTTCCCCGGGAAATTCATTGTACAGTCGTGGACGGAAAAGAGGGTGGGGAGAGGAAGCCTAAATCGCGGGGAATGCTTTTGATGGGGCCCTTTTGTTTGCGCTCGAACAACATTAACCCACATTTGGGATCTGCTCGCGAAATTTCACCCAAGATCCCTGCCGTTATCCTCAAACTGCACGTATACGAGTGCCTTACCCCATACTTTGGAGGAAGAGAAGGGAAATTACACCAAAAGTTATATGTATACATGCACAACTACAGTGTGTTTCGCATGAGGGCCCCCCATGCCCACTACGTCTCACCTCTCGGAGGAGCTATATTTGTCTCTTCTTACTCCTCCCTTCGAAGAGCGCTGCTGGGATCTTTTTCCTTGAAAAAAAAAAAAAAAAGTTCCTTCCTTACCTCTCCTTCGAGCGTATATCTTTCCCGGCGCTATTCTGCACCTCCTTTTCTCTTGGCCGCCCGTCTTCCGTACCCCGGAGAGAAGTGGCTGCTGCACGTCTATCGAAGACGCATCGCGCTGTAAATTCCCGGCGATGCCGGGAGTCGAATCGAGCCATCGGCTGCTCTTAAAAACGAATCTACCAAAGGCGGACGCGGATGTGTATTTTTTTCCATACAATACGTTTCCCATTGCGCTGCCTCGATCTGGGTCACGGGTGATTTACCAAAAATTCATCAAAAACGCTGCTTTTTTCAGCCACACGGTCCAACGGAGAAGCTCGTTCGTTTTATTTCTCTCCCGTTCATTTCCAACAAATAAAACTCCCGGCAACGCGGTACCCCATACACAATCAATATCGGCTCGCCCTTCGGAGCAATTTTCCAACGGCGGGGGGGTTAAATTAGCTTCGTTTAAGTCCCGGTTAATTAAAAAGCGCAATTTTTCTTCGGCAATTTATGTGATGAACGCGGAGCGATACGCGCGCGCGTGATACATGGCTTCTTTTTCAAAAAAAAAAAAAAAAAAAAAAAAAAAAAAAAAAAAAAAAAGGGNTTTCCCGTTTGGAATCGACATTGGCGGTACAGTTGATGTACATACACCCGCAGATCTACCCTCGATGGGGGGGGAGTGAATTTTCGAAACTCAATTTTCCCGCTTCTTTGTCCTTCTTTTGCCCAACACCCGGCAACGGAAGAGGCGCCCCCCCCCCCCCGTTCAATTGGGTTTTCGAGCCGGTGCACGGGGAGTCGCGTTCCAGCCATAGCTCGCGCGCACAATGCGAGAGCCTCCGTTAAATTGACTGCTACTCGCTGCTGTTGCTTTTCGAGGCCGTGCACACACACACAATGTGGATGGAAGGGGAAGAAAGAGCTCCGCAGTAACTCCAGGACTGTCCGTCCGTCTGTCTGGCCGGTTTCCCCTTCCGGCTGTGTAGCTACTTCCGCACGGCGGCCCTCTTTCTATTAACAAACTTCCCTCTGCCGAGCAACTCTCGTCTCTGCCCCGGTGTATCGACAGTGCCACGATCCCTCATCCCTTTGAAATTACAAAAAAGAAAAAAAAAAGTATCCGAGAAATCCAAACGTTTACACGGTCCTGCTTTCGTGCACGCCCCCTCCCAGTAGACCAACGAGTCGGTGGCCCTGAATTTTTCAGCCCGTCGTCGGTGCTTCGTAGGAGGGAGTAAAAAAAAAGCCCCACCACTCCTTTTGGTCGGAATGCGTTGGCTACGAGGGGGTGCGAATCCTCGCGACTGCTTTAATATTCCGTCGAGTGTGTTATTGGATTCCGTTTGGGAGGGGGGCGATGTCACGTCTAGTTGGTCCAGAGATTCGCATGTGTAGATAATAACTCGAGTGTGCGTGGGTGCAAAAAAAAAAAAAAAAAATTTTCACCCCGCGTGCTCTCGTCGCGATCCCGTATAAGCCGGCTCGCTCTTATTTTCCGATGGAGGGCTACCACGAGCTGTTTCGTATGCATGCGCCGAGAGCGCTATCCGGGAGGAAGAAAAAGAGGGGCCCGGGATGGGACACGCGCCACCGATACTACGCCTCGTGCTTTTGACGCTGTTTGCGCTGCATTCGAATTGCGCCGTCCCTGTGCCCCGGAGGGCTGGAAGAGGGTATGTATGGTATTGCCAGGGATACGCGGTTTGATTTCCCTCACGATCGGTCCGGGTATTTTTTTTTTTTTTTATAAGGTTGGCCATCAATAGCAGATCTCGTGAGTAGATACAGGGAAGATGGGCATTTTTGTCCCAGCAGGGTACACAATAAATACACATTATCTGGCAGGTTCGTAATTTCATTTGGTGGATTTTTACTCTCGGCTTTCCATCTGTGTACCAGCAGTAAATAGCGGGGCGTTAATGATCGCACCTTTGTTTGAATTAATCTAGAATTGGATGTGAATTACAAACCCGTTTCATTTAGGTAGAATTACCCTCCCCCACTTTTTCTCCTCTCTCTTCTATGTACCGCGAAATAATCGAAACAAAAGAGCAGATGCAATAGTCCTTTCTTCCATTAGGACACAATTTGAACGCGCGTAAAATATCCACTGTACGGATGCCGAACCGATTCATCGCTCAAACCTCGGGGCGTTTTTAATTCGAATTTCCGCGCGGGCGTCGTTGACCCGAATCATTTTACAATCACCCAGAGGGTTTTCGCTTTAATTGTACTTCACGCCGCGTGTATACCGCGATGCACTCCTTTGTCCCGCGCAAACGAGTACTTGGTGTATACAACCTACACGTGTACGGGCAAACAAACGTCGGCCACGCGCCGTGGCACCGATTGTATATTTGTATCGCGCGTATATATGCCCACTATAGACGA